AGCGGGCAGCACCCACCCGCCTGCCCACCCCGTTTCCCCCCGGGGTCTCTCCTCCCCTTACAAATCTCCGTGTTCCTTTCATGCTGCTCTTCAAACCGACCCTCGCTTTGCTTCAAAAGCCTCACAGACGCACACGCTCCCACATTCCCGTCTTAACAGGCCTTGTCCAAAAGCAGGCCAGGCAGGCACCCTCATGCCCAGGTATAAACTGACGTCTGTACAGACACATTGTTCTCTTCAACACATGCACCCACAGTTGCAAAAGGGAGGCCATATTCGTGCCGGTGGGATTACGTCCATTTTTGCATTTTCACTTTTCAGTTTGCCCATTATAGCAGAGTATTACAGTGAAGCTAAATATATACAGGGAGCAAAGTATACAATGATTTTATCATCACAATACCAAGAATTTCTATCAGTAATTGAAACTGAGTTACGCTAGTCAAAGCAAAGCAATACAGTGTATTTCCTGAGGCAGTACAGTTGCCTTTTTACTGTGTATATTCAGCAGGGGTGAAATTCAGCCCTCTGCAGACAAGGCAGCAAAAAGCCGATCAGATTCTTCAAATCCACTCCAAGCTCCATTATAAAGAATTAAGTGGCACTTAAATGATACAGAGGCTTTGTGCAGACCTTCTGCAAAGAACTGAATTTCATCTTAAGAATCTGAGCTGACACCACTTTGCATCTCCTCAGAAGGGCTGTGCCCCTTCACTTAAACTGAAGTTAATAGGAACTGATGGTGCCCAGCACATGGTAGAATCGCTTTCCCGGGTAGTACCATTTGAACTGGAGACCAAACGGAGTCTATCCAAGGGTTTTTCATACAAACAGTTCTGAGGTGTTGCAGGCGAGCAGAGGTTATATCAACATGACGCCAAGCTACCCACCGAAGTGTTTTTAACTGTTTTGTAAGATAGAAGAATTTTCAATAGATTTCCAGTTATTAGTAAAAATAAATAAAGCCTCTATTCATGATCAGTATAGTCCAATTTAAGACTGTTCAACTGAGTAGTGTTTCAGAACACCACAGATATTATTTTCTGCTAAATACTGCAACTAGATATGTTTTGTCATTAAGCTTCTCACCTGGTTTAACATTATATATATAGTTTCCCGTAGAAAACCAGCTTTATTTTCTATACTTTCTTTTCACACGTTCACTCTGCATTCAGGCA